GGAAGGTCTCGTGCTCGGCTGAGGCTTGCTGGTCGAGCTTGAGGCGGCGGACGACGCGGGCGCGGTCGTCTTCGGACAAGAATTTGGCCTCGTCGGGGAAGTCGTGTACCATCCAGAAGGAAACGAAGCCGATGACGACGGTGAGGAGACCCTCGAGGATAAAGATCCAGGCCCAGCCGGGGCGACTACCGATGCCGTCCATGTGTTCGATGGCGGCGGCGAGAAGACCGCCAAAGGAACCGGACAAGGCCGCAGCGGAGAAGAAAATGGCAGCGCGAATGCCAAACTCGGAGCGCTTGTACCAGCACGACAAGTAGTAGTTGACGCCTGGGAATAGACCGGCTTCAGCCAGCCCGAGAAACCATCTGGCTGCCATCAAACCATCCCAGTTGTAACAGAAACCCATGCCCACCATGCTACCACCCCAGAAGACCCTGTAATCTTTTGGTTAGCATACTGCATGGCGCAGCCGATAAAAGAACAAGGAAAGTGTTTGAACTAACATGATGATGGGAATGAAGATGGAAGGGCGGAACTTCTTCAGCATGATATTCGTGATCGGCTCAAACACCGCATACGAGACGAAGAAAATGCTGAGAGAAGCGCTGTATTGGCCATCAGACAATTTCAGATCTTTTTGAACACCAGCGATCTTAGCATTGCCGATGTTTGTGCGATCCAAAAAGGCAAGAAGATAGAGTAGGCATAGCTAGAGAAGACATGTTAGACCTGTCCGGGCGGCGAAAGGCTTGTATAGTATGAAGAGGGTTACTTACCCATGGGATGAGCATGAAATCGAGACGTCGAACGAGTTTGCGGTCCTAGAGTATGTGGTGTTAGCATTGCGTAAGGATCATTGCAGAACCTGACCAGGAAGAGTGCAGCGTGGACATACGATTTCTGCCTTTTCCTCATCTGTCCGATGAGCATCCGGATCAGCGGGAAGGTTGATGCCCTCTTCATGTGTAGAGACGCGGCGACCTTCGCCAGACGACTTTTCCTTATCTTCGGTCATGGTTGATGAGCTCTCCAGGTAGTACTTTCCCTTGGGTCTGAAGGAGAATATTCGGGCTGTGGTGTGGTAGAACAGAACGTGTCAGTTATGTAACCAGTGACTGGGCTTCCACGGTGAGGTGCTGTGGGCTTTCAGGTGGTGCTGATGACGGGAGAGGTTGAAGCCTTGCGCGCCGTTCGTTGTCTGTCTTGATTTCCAAGAGGCAAGATGTAACAAGAAACCAATGACTTATAACGTCCTCGGAGTTGCCTCTGAGGCTTTCGAAACAGGCAGAGGAGGTGAAATGCCAATGCACGGGAAGAAGAAATTAATACAAAGAATGAATAGTGAGGTGGAAATAGAAAATCGGGAAGATGAGTTGAGCTCTTATCTGCAAATCGGCACCAAAAAGGGAGGGAGGGGAAGGCAGGGAATCATGTATCATCATAGCGAATCAACAATGGGATTGGTACGAATCGAGAACATTACAAACCCATTGCTCATGTTTGCCCAATACGGGGCAGCCTGATTCTGGACTTTGGTCGGCGTGGGTCTTTGTTTTTGGTCCGTTTTTTTGTGCTTCGGAAATGCTCACGCGGGAAACCTCACTGAATCCTGATCTGCCGAGCTGCCGCAATGTCCTTTCCTTCTTTTGCGTTAGAGGCGTCAAAGGGGGATTGTCAAAGTCGGTCAAGGTGGAGTTTATGGAGCTTTCCCCAGACGAGGGCGAACGAAACAGAATCCACGTTGTTTGGTTTTGACCCACGCGGAAGGGATGAGATCCCGGAGATGTAGATCGTAGTAAAGGAGGAGATTGGCGAACGTCGAAGCGACCCAAACCGGAAATTTCGCCGCAATGTGATAAGTTTATGGCATTCCTGTCTAGTAGTTGGGCACTGTGACCTGAACAACTCGCCGAGCCCTTCACTGTGTCGAAGAAGCCTTGGTCAAATATTGACCCTATTTGAATGTAGCCGCGCAACGGTGGCACTATTGGTGTTTGCTGTACCGGTACAGGCCGGGGAGGGGAATGTGGATGAATTGGAGGGAGGGACAGAGAACAATGGAACGTGTGCCCAAAATAGGATAGTCCCGAGGAAGGGGACGGTGCAGGTGGGGTTGATAATGCGGAGGGGAGGAGGCTAAACCAGCTGGGGCAGCTTATAAGTAGTTTGTAGCATATCCGACACGCCGCATATGCGCCTACGGGCCCAATTGGGACGCCACCACGGACAGATGGACGGCAGATTACCAATGCACTCAACACCACCTCCACCCCTGCTCCTTGCACACCTCATCCTCGGTATTCGTAGAGGTACATAATAGTAGCCAGCCATGGAGGCATATAAACGACGGTGAGCATGGATACCAGGGTTGGGCAAACATTCACCTGGCAGCGTGCTCCCCGATGCCAGAAGCCTCAGGCTTGCTGCTTGCTCCTCCTGCGGTCCCAGCATGCTGGGATCCTGGTTGATATGATCCCCTCAATCTCACATCTTACCAAAACGCTTTCTAGCATTTGTTATGACAGAGCTCACCAGACTTGCCCGACCGAACTACTCCAGTGTGTTCGCTTGCAGTCACTGTTAATTCACCGGCAATACCCCGCTCCAGTACCCTCAACAATAACACGACTCGAGAGAGTTGCCTTGTTGGTCGGTTTCTGGACAGGCTTCTACCTGACTGGCTGATGTCCGTGACCCACATGTCGTAGGATTCTCTCGCCCGAAGACAAAAAGGTGTTCAAGGCAACTGGAGGGTCGGACAATGATACCCAGACAGGGAGATGCACTTTCATCTTTCTAGAAACCCCTTGGAACATCGACATCAGTGATGCTTGCTTCGTGGTTCGTCAGAGGCTAGCAAACGAGGGAGCAAGAAGTACCTGTGCTCGTGTTTGAATCGCCAAGCGGGAGTGTCGTGCTGTCTCACCTCACTTTTGCTTGTCCCATGGCCTTGGAACATGACAGCCGGAAAGTAAAGGTGCGGAAAGGAAGGTCTCTTTCTTACCGGGCTGTACAGTTGTGTTGAGTACCTGATGGACCAGGAATGCCAGATAAATGAATTTGCTTGACCAAGCCAATCTGGCATCCATCATCTGTGGGCGACATGGTGTCTCAGCAGACCTTGTATCACCAAATACTCAACCCTAGGAGCCCCCCTCAAGCGCACAGCAGCAACTAGTAACTTCTGCCCATTACGGCCTTTAGTGAGACTCATGTACCAGATTATTCATTGTTGACGATCCGAAGAACGTCATGCTCGGCGACTGCGCACGCAGAATTCGCCAAGGTCAGTTATGTTTCAGACAAGAGGAGGGAGGTTTGACACAGACTGTTGTTCCGAGTTTCTGGTCGTTACTAGCAGAGTGCTGATTCGGGGAAGGCTGAATTGATGAGTGCGCTAGATAAAGAAAATGCATGGATGCACCACACCATCCCGTCCTTAGGTCAAGGTGTGTTGCAACCCGAGTATTGGTTCCGAAGAGAGAACGTGCTGTGTACTGTCTTGGTGGACAATTTGTTGAGACCAATTTCTTAGTTCACGCTTGGCAGGTGTTTCTGTGTGTGTCCGCGGCGCGGCATGGACAAAAGCATGGCTTGTTTGCTCCCATGCGGGCGCCACACGAAAAGGGGCAGATGACGATGCCTGGTTTGATGAGAACCGAGTCAAGCAGGGCCGCCGTGTTTGGAATTTGATTTCTTTTTGGGCGGACCAAGTTTGCTTTGTGTGAAGGTGCGGTCCTTTCGGTTTACCGTTGCTGGCCAGCTGCTGTAGTCCGTCGCCCGAAAGGCCAACAAAGTGGGCGAGCATGGCATTGTTGGAATGCTTTGGGAAACTTTTCAGGCGTGTACCCGCTCGGGCGACAGCGTATGTCATGGTTATGATTTGTGGGTTATCGTTTGGCAGGTCTCGTCTGCAATAGCGGCCTATGAGCAAGCAGCCGCTGTCTGGTAGGACTACTTGCGATCCACGTGCTGAGGACGTTCCGCCAGATCTGTGGCTGTACTCAGCAAGAAGAAAAGCAATTAGCTATGAAAATCTTGACGATGCTTTTGGAAAATATCGAAGGATTTGCAGCTCCTTGCACTAGTTGAACCGTGTCACCAAGCTGCTGCAAGCGGCCGCCACGTCCATTGCGTCTGTCCAACCTGCCTTCAAAGCGAACCGTGGCCGTCTCGTTCAGAGGCAAACTGTGGCCTTTTTTTCTTCTTCTTTTTTTTCTTGAACAAGGACAGATATAAAGACGGTGTCCAATGTGTGTAGGGCTGTAATCCGGTACTTGTATGTGTCTGTGACTAAGGGCATGGGCTGTAGTATTTTGGGAGGAGGCTAGAGGGCACATACCTGGGCAGTCTCGGCGTTCGAGTCTCCTCTTGGCTAGGGTAAAATCAACCCCATGATAGCGCTATCGATCGGGTCGGGCCATAGCAGCCTCTGGACTAGCTCTTCAGGTACCGGTACGCAGTGTGCCAGGACAAGCGAGAAGCTGCCAAGACGAGAAGCGGTTTTCTAGCTTGCTTCTGTGCTTCCTCCCCTGGCGATAATAAAGCCACCATTTTCTTGGTAGGCGACTGGCAGACTACACCGGGTCAGTCAGGTACCATAGCCAAGGGCCATGTGGCATGGACAATCTTTTCCCATGGCGGTTGGGAGCTCAACATCGGTAGTGTTGATGAAGCCATGGCTGTTTCCTGTGGCTCTCGACTCGAGGACTGTGCGATGGAATGATATGGCTGCAGGCGCAATTAGGAGAATTGTGCCAAACGACGAGCGAGATCTGCCAGCTCCCGAAGAGGGCCATGTCGAAGGTCTCTGGAAAGGTGCAGTGCGTCGGGTGTCCGGCTACACAACCAAGCGACTCGCAATTTAGCGCTTGAGGTTGGCTGTTGGATCCATGGCAATCCAGGGAATCCCTTCTTGAGCGGCTGTCGTCCAGATAGGCAGGTGATGCGTATACTGTGATTGGAGTATGGATACGCTATGTGGTGGATGTCGTGTTGCCATGGCGGCAGGGTACCTCGAGGCTTTTGATGGTGGGGGTGGTGGTGGTATATTGGACTTGGCGTCATCAAACACCTGCACCGTCTGCGCCGTCTGCTCCGGAGTGGCGGCGGCAAATGGCCCCGAACTCGACAACCAGGCGTCCAGGATGGATTTCACCGTGGGGGGCGGCTGATGTCTCTTGATATCGGTCCGGCTTCGGCTACTGTCATGTGTGTGTGGACAAGGCAGCCGACGGGGTCGGGCGGTCAGCTGAAGCGCACGGTAGTGATGGGTGTTTGTGTTGACTTGTTGGTGTCGCAGGCCACTCAAGATAGACGGGGAGCGTGATTCCGGATCCAAAGCGTGGGACTGCTTTGCTGGAAGCGTGGATTATGCAGTGGGATCGTTGTGATGTTTGTCTTTACAAAAAGGTAAAATTGGAGGATGGATGGCCTGGATTCTTGGAACGGTAAGTACCTAAGAGGCAGCTGTGGCAGATCCAGATAGATGTTTGCCAGACGGCACGCGGACCGTGACCGGCTTGGATCCCCCGAGTCCTGTGCTCCACTTCAGTTTTCATGACCCGACTGAATGGAGGCTTCCGTGTGCGTTCGGACTTTGGACCATGTTGTTGGAACTCGGTGCGCTGGGAAACAGAGGCAATTAGCGGATCACTAACAGTAAAAAACGTCATTCCCCTCGTTACTTGTCCTTCGGGTATACAACGGCACAAACCCTTTCTAAATTGCACATCAACAGGTCGTTATCTTAATATAAGAGACTTCTAAAACCTAAGCCGACAATGAACAACTATTTCGAAGCTCAAGATAGGATATGATGATGTGTGATGGTGACGTCTGCCTTGAGGAGCACGCAAAGAGCGCAGGGTTGAAGTGTTAGAGATCTCGTCACTTGGATGAAAGGTCTGGGGTGCGAGGCACTTACAGGTAACAAACTGTCCGGGAGGCATTGTACCGAACTCCCGACAGCTTATGCCTGGCCCTCAATGGGCGTATGGAAAGTAAGGTAGGTAATTATGCGATCACCAGTATTCGTGGAGACAAAACACACTAAACGTCTCTATCCTTATTTGGCTGGCTGTTTACGCAAATGGCGCGCGAAATGGCAAACCGTGACGAGTTGTATCGGGCAGGTTTTGCCAGACTGAAAGAATAATACATATTTGCTCTCATGTTTCGCTCTTTCAATCTTTTCTCTCTCTCAAGCGGTCCCGTGATGCCGCTCGGCAAGTCTGTGACGTTTACCGGAACTCCACTGTTGTTTAGTCTGTGGGGTCGCTTGGTGCGGGGAGATCTGCGCCTTCCCCATTCCCGCCTAAAGCTTAACTTGACCTTCCCCCAACTTTTCTGTTCCCCGCTTGAGGAGACTTTCGATTGGTAATTGGTCTGACCCCTCACCCCTCATTCCATCTTGAAGCTGACAGCTGCCGGACATCGCCCAAAGCCTGATCCCTGCAATATGACTGTCACTTCAAGTTCTGCCAGCTGAAGTCTGCTGTCAATCGGGAATATCGGATGAAATGTGACTCCACTCACAGCCGGGCAACTGTGACTCTGCTCAGTACACTCGGTCATCAAACCACACCAAGTCACCAAAAATGAATTGAAGGGAAAGCGGCAGACAGCGGCACAACTTGAAGTTGGCCATCCCGTCTCGTAGTGGTGAGGCACTGCACGCTGTCATATTTTGACGAGTTGTTCTGTCGCTCTCCAGCACCCGACAAACCTAGTTCAGGAAGTGCTCTGGGACGTTGAGCTGCCCCTGCTTCAGTTTCTCACCTGAAGCTGCTCCCTGTACACTCATACTATCGACATCGCGATTGACCACACCGAGTCACCACTCAACATACTGGTCCGAGCCACCGCACGCCCCCGGGCCATATTCCCCAACCTCAGCTCTCTCGGACCGTCCAGTTGGAGACGTGGCTTCATGGCGGCTTCAAAGAAAGTTTGCATTGTTGGTGTGTGCATGTTTGCCTTCAATTCACTTCCACTTCCAAGCCATCAGTGTTCACTCGTGCCTTCTCTTCTTCGTTTCTTTTCCCTTTCAACACTACGCGTCTGCACATGTGTCGCCAACATCAACATCAAACATGCCACTTTTCAACCCATCCACTCTTACCTCAACGCCCAATACCGCCACATATCATTTCTGTGCAGTCATGGCTTTCTAACCACTCCCTGCTATAGGTGCTGGCCCGTCTGGTTTAGTTGCAGCCAAGTCACTCCTCCATGACCAGCCCAAGGGGACCTTCGATGTCACCATCTTCGAAGCGCAGAACCGTGTGGGCGGTCTTTGGCCGTCGAGGAAGGACGACAACGCCGGTTTGGTTCACCCGCTCATGGTAGCTAACCAGAGCAAACATATCGTCCAGTTCAGCGACCTGGCATGGCCCGATGACGCCCCCGAATTTCCCAGAGCTTGGCACATTGGGCGCTATCTTGAGGCATACCATGATCGATACTGCCGGGACGCCAAAATCCACCTTGGCCAGCGCGTCGTTCACTCTGAACTGCTTCAACCATCTGACCAAAGTGTCGAGGGAGCCAAGTGGAAGGTCCGGACATGTTCTCAAGATGGCCAACAGCTCGACCATACGTTCGACTACCTACTCGTCGCATCTGGTTTCTTCGGCAAACCGGTGATACCTCCACCAGTGGCCGCTAGTGGTGATATACCGGTGGTCCATAGCAGTCAGTACCGGACTCTCACCGCCTTACTCGAGCAGACAAAAGGTGTCGGGCGCAAGATCGTGGTGGTTGGAGGCCAAATGTCGGGTGTCGAGATAGCCGGTACTATCGCAACCCACCTCTCCTCGGCAATGCATGCGCCTGGCTCGAGCCCGCTTCAGCACTTGGACGAGTACTCGATTCACCATATTTCCCAGAGGCCTGTATGGGTCTTTCCACTCTTTACCTCACCAAAGGTGCCCATCTTCCATCCATGTCCCCGACTGTTTCCTCTTGGTGCTTTTGCGCTGACTTGTGTGTCTTCTGGCTAGCCCGCGTCGCCCGCACCGCCCTTCTTGCCCATGGATCTCTGTTCATATAATTTGGCCAACAGACCGGATAATCTGACCAATATGCAAGGCCATGTCTCGATAGAGGCGGCAAAGACACGTCACTCAATCTTTGAAACAATGCTAGGGACTGATCAATCTGACTTCTCATCCAGTCTGGCCATTACAAACACCGACACGGACCAGCCCCCTTACCTGGCCGTTAGTGACACTTATGCAGACTTTGTCCGCAGCGGGCTCATCTCGGTGTCACGTGGAAAACTAGACTCGCTGACCGCCGATACTGTCACCGTCACAACAGCTCGGGGAGAGGTAAGCAAAATCGACAATGTTGCGGCAGTAGTGCTCGCAACTGGCTTCGAGGCAGCATCGTCCATCTCTTTCCTGCCGTCCTCTGTTCAAGAGATCTTGTCGGTGGTGCCCTCTGACCTGAACACTACTGTTGCCTTGGCCTTTCACGGTACCCATCATCCGGCAATTCCCTCCTTGGGGTTTGTGGGTTTCTACCGATCACCCTATTGGGGTGTCATGGAGATGCAAGCCCGCTTTGTCACAGCTTTGTGGGCGGCCGGAGGACCTACTTCTTCGTCACTTCCTCCCAGATTGGCTGCAGCTCTTGCTGAAGATGATTCCATTGAGCGGACGTTGGCTCTGCGAACTGATCCTCGAGTTTCTCAGTTCCCCATGGGCGATTACCCATGGCTCATGCAAGAGTTTTCGAAGGCTCTCGAAATTGACCGCATACCACCGTTGGGGGAAATGCCTAGAGTTCCACCAGCTGACCAGAGCATGAACATCCTGACACCAGCACGCTATCCCGCAAAGCGAACAAGTGAGGCACAACGTACAGAAGCCACAAAGTCTATTCAGCAGACTGAGAGCACAACATGGTCTGGTGTTTCCTCGGCAAGGTTTGTTGCAAAAGCCATCTTCCGTTCCCTTTTAGGGGAATGGAAGCTTGAGAGGGATCTTGTGAGTCGTCTTCCCACTCACCCGAGCGGGCATTTCAGTGGTACCGCGAGGTTCCTGCTCAGGGAACGTACAAGAGACGGACGTGAAGCCGAGCACGATGCTGCTTTGGAAAAAGATGACGATATCGGGTTGGAATATCTCTACGTTGAGGAAGGAACGTTCACTGCCTCTAACGGCTTCTCTTTCCGTGCTACGAGGAGATATGTTTGGAGGTATGATGAAAAGAAAGACAAGCTGAGCGTCTGGTTCGTCAAGACGGACGATCAAAAGAAGGCGGATTATCTGTTCCACCAAGTGGAGTTCGTCATTCCGGACACAGGGACTGAGGATGCACCCCAAGCATGGCGAGCAAACGCTGGACATCTATGCATCGACGACTTTTACGACGTCGACTACCGCTTCAACTTCAAGGCCGTCAATCTCAAAGATTGGTCTCTAGCCTACCAAGTCAAGGGGCCGAAGAAAGACTATGTGATTGAGGGGACCTACACACGGTGAATCGGCGATTAGGATTGTTCACATGGGAAGCAAGAAGCAGCGTGGTAATGGGACCCATAGTAGCGAGCCACAAATGATGCTTTCACAGATTCTTAGTGTAAGTTAGCCTTGAGTGTCATAAAAACAGCAAGAAAGTCTGGGCTGACATGTAGTCCATGTACCCACATGCGTATACATACAGGTAGGTGGATGGGAGTGCCGAGAGTTGTGATAGTGCCACAACCAATATCACCTTCCACCCAGCAACCTGCTCAGTGGCGATGGAATCTTAAGAGATGCGATAAATGCGGTGGCTTTCAGACCATTCGTCTTCTAGAAGGCTGCAACGAGCCACCCAGAACAGGCGTGCAGTTGATGTTTGCTTTCCCGTAGCTGTCTTCCCGAGCGCAATCAGATGTTTGGCCAATGAAGCCGAAATTGCTAAACACATAAACAGCTCTTTTTTGAACAAACATACCTCTATCAACGTGAAGGAATACCACAGACCGCAGACACGAAACGACTGTGAGCTGACGGAGGGCACATGAGTGGTTATGAGGCAGAACAATGTGAGTCCTTCCTTTTGGCGTCTAAGACACTATTGCGATTCTCACCACTCAACGCGGGCCAGGTAACTAATGCAGGTACAGCTACGAGCGGATCTCGATGTTACAGCATCATGTCACTACAAAGCATGGGCATCAGGCCCCTGGCTGTCTAACGATGAGGTACGAATAAGTCAGTCCCCTCCAAAAACCGCATGGATCAGCGAGTGGCCAGGGAACCAACGCTCTCACGGAGCACAGCAGAATGCCTAGTGTGTTCACAACCACGGAGCCGCGATATCAGGTCACTGTTACCTAGAGGTATGACCTGTTGGTGAGAGGTAGGTTGGTAGGTGAAGATGATCATTGCCCTTGGTGTTTGTGGCCTGGTGTTACCGCACAATAATTCACACTGGAATGAGGGGCTCTGATTTTATTCCGCTTACACAAAGCTTCGATAGATCACTCATTCTTTACAATCCCAAAAGGTCTGGGAGGGAGACCGTCGCTCGCGCCTACTATCGCCTCATCGGCAACCTACCTGATCTGCCTCATGTTCCTATTATCATGGCTGGAACTCTGTGCTCGTTGTCTGCACCGCCAAGCCGGCAGGTTACTTCTGTGACCGCAAGTCCAGCAGACAATGGGGTTATATCAGATTGGATCTGCACGTTTTGTCGTACCTTTTGGTTCAATCACCAATCACGACCGGGATGAGGCGGCCGTTGTCGCATACAAGGCACGCAGCTACCCGTCGAAACAAAGGTCCCGGAAAGTCATACATACCACTCTGGCCATTCAAGCCAAGGAAATCCCTTTGTCGCGGCGTGAGGGAGGAAGGGCATATCTATACTTCTTGCTCTTCCATTTGGTCGTTGTTTCGAAGTGGTATGTTTGACTTTCATGTCCCCTACAACCTCACAAATGACTCCCTCGCAGCTCTTGGCAACGGAAGTTCCTGGGCCATTGGCTGTGATCCGGCTCAAGGGTGCCATTAATGTCAAAAACGAAAAAAAAAATAAAAAATATGTAACATGCCCGGGGAGGAGACGGGACGGTACGGTGCCATCGTATCTTTGCATGGAGAGATTGGATTGGGAAATGGCGATCATTCTCGTCCTTGAAGGCTCCTGTGATTTGACAGCCAAGAAAACCGTCAAGCGCCACCTACCCAGTAATCGTGGAGATCTGGTTTTGCTTCTTTTCTGCGGTTTCTCAGCTTTGGAGCTCTCACCGTTCCTTTTTATAAGATTCTCCAACCCTACCTCTACCCATGGAGTTTGGGATAACCTTAAGTGGTTGGTTGCTGCTCTCACGACGTGGACTATTTGGCAAACCTTGTCTGGAACTAAACTGCATACATCCTCACTGACCTCACACCACCGGGGCACAACGATGCTGTCAATCCCTCTGCAGAGGGCAAACAAGCATCCCGTGCCTACAATGGCCCTACGCATATGGCCAGACCCCTGTTCGACACCAAGTTTACAGATGTACTAACGAACGTCCAACCACCAAGACTATCAAGATCGAGGCCGGCAACCGCTTTCTGACCAGTGTCCGATTCAGCCTGCATCTATAGGTGGAAGACGTTTCGTTGTTCTCAACAATGACTACCGGCCAATATTGTCTTCGATTCGCATCATCGTCCGTATCATGTTTTACTCCTACACTGGGAGCACTAAAACCGTCTTGTCTGGGAAACATATTGCAGCTGATGGGTTCCATATGTTGTGAACCTCGACGAGTTCCGCTTCGACCAATGAACCCGGCGCATACCCATAGCGCGGTCACACAAGTAATCTGGTTCGAGTCAATCTCCCTGGCCAGACGGACTGGGACACAGCACACCAGCTCAGGGCCAGGAAAGCAGAGCGATATGAAGAAACCGGATCGTAAGCACGTCTCGGTTATCGAGTGTTTCCCCCGTGCACATCACGACAGCTTGCCAGAGGACATCTGCTGTCTCTTGTTGGCGTTGGACAAATCGCGCTGGCATCGAACTGCCAATTCGAGGAGTGCCCTTCAACTTTACAACATGCTTCAAGTTGCTAGGATGCTTCTGGTGTTAACATGGTGATGTTGGATGGCCCCCTTTCCATCAAATGCGTGTCAAACAGTTAGAGCCCCAGAAAGGCATTTGTTTTGCACCCGACCCTCACACAAAGACGGAAGGCAAGTTTGCTTTCCGACTTACCGGTGGCTTGCATGATACAACACTAAATCTCCTGCTGGATACTGGTTGCTCTCCGCAAGGCCCATGTTACTTCCCTCGTGTTAGGGAGTTAGGGACGAGAGAGACGGGTTCGTGCCTCGCCGTATGCTGGGAGGACTACCGCACACTTACCTACCTCTATACAATACTCAGACAAACATCAGAAACTCTTCAGCACCCGACAGCACCCCCGGAGCGCGGCAGCGCAACTAAACTGATACATGCTATACAGCGGGACTTCCATGGTTTGCTGAGCATTTTTACGAAATATCTTTTCACATCCGCGGTGAAAGCAGTTGCGGGGAAATATAAGGACCAAAGTCCCATCTGTTGGAGGGTGGAAAAATTTCCAGTACCGCGTCGAATCGCTGCCAAAAATCAAGACCGCCATCTCCCCCCAAATCAAGACCCAAGGACTGTGGCCGTCGAGTTTCTTCAGGGGAAATCCAGTCCATTCGTGTAATCGACTAAGCGCGTGTTTTGTGGCTGCCGTTCAGCTGTCTTTCATCCCGCATTTTCCCCAGACAAACCATCCTCCAAGGTTTCTGTTCTCGAAACCTTCCCTTCTCTTTATGTCCACTGTCAACCCACGACCAATTCACACCGTTTATAACGCGCCTCAATTCAAGGGTCAACTGATCTGCCGACCATCCATCGTCCTGGAAATAGAGACGCCGCCAGGAGGCCCAATACTTGATGCGAGTTGTGCGGGAGCAAACATCTTCGCAATAGACGGCTTGCATCTGATACTCGCCTCAGCCTGATTTCACTAACGTTTCCGCGGCCGGCTTCCCGACCGATCGGCCTCTCGAATCGCACCGGCAGTGGCTCGTCATTAGTGTGTGGAGATAGGCGGGGGACGCTTCTAAGCCTTCTAATTCTTTGCTTATTCGTTTCTGAACGCGGGGAGTGACCGTTGGGTGGGTGGGCTCGCTCCGGATCCTACTGGTTCGATGAAGCCAGCCTGCTTCTACAGCCGCAAGAGACTCAAGCCCACACGCGACACCCAGCTACCACCACACAGTCCCCAACCCCGCGGGATCTTGGGCATTCCTGCTTGCTCTGCCGCTTTCTGCACTTGCAGCAGTCTTGCTTTCAGAAGTCAAGCCACGTGCGGTCCAACACATTCCAAATCGGGTTTCCGAGCCTGGGTTGTGAAGATTGCTACGCCGTCTCTCAGCCCAAACACAGGTCTGAAGCCAAAGACACGGCTTGGCCAATTAATCTATCCCTGTTCCTCAATCCACTTAAGATATTTTCGCCTCCCCTCCTTCACCATGGACGAGTTCACCGGCACCACCCAGGCTCAGGTCGAACAACCGCCTGTGGAATACAGTCAAGGCTACATGAATCTCACACAGACACAGCGGAACACCATCGAGCATGTCGAGAGGATTGGCGCCTCTCTTAGCTTGCTTGGGGTGTTCCTGATATTCATCGCCTATGGCCTCTTCAAGCGAGTTCGGACAGTACCCAACACTTTCATCCTCTTTGCGTCTATCGCCAATGTCGGGGCTAGCACGGCATGCTTTATCGGCTATGCGGGTATCGTGGCCGGCGAGAACTCGGCGCTCTGCCACACGCAGGCGTTTCTTCTTGAGATGTAAGTGAACTTGTGGTGAGATTTATCTGAGATGGACAACATGTTAACACACTTCTCCCCAGGTTCATGCAATCAGACCCGTGGTGGTCACTTGCCATGGCAATAAATGTCTTTCTGGTTTTCTTCTTCGCCCTAAACCCCAACGCTTTTCGCGACTACCTCTGGTTGTATTGCCTGGTGTGCTATGGACTTCCTTCGGTTCCGGCAATCGTCCTCCTTGCTCACAGTCCTGCTACCACTCGCTACTATGGAAATGCCACGGTATGGATCCCAACCCTTGTGAAGGCAGTTTATTCACGAGATGCTGACTCTCTTGGCAGTTGTGGTGCTGGATAGCCGACACATGGAATCCTCTGCGGATTTACACCTACTATTTACCTATTTGGACGTGCATCTTTCTCTCCGGACTGGTATACCTCGCCGTGGGCTATCAAGTGTTTCATCAGCGTAATCAGCTACGGAATTTGACATTCAGCAACCAAGGGAAAAACTACTCTGGATCTGAACACATAGAACTAGGCGAGAAGCACAGCTACGGTATCAGCGCTGGCCGGGATTCGCCATGCCCTACTGTCATTCCCATGGTCAGTTGCACTTTACTACTACCTTTACAGCATTGGCTTTCCACTTGGCTGTTTTGCTTCCTTCATCCACCTTCCCATGTAACACCACGATATGGCACTACTGTCGTACCACTTCCCAAGCATGCACGATTTATGTCTACCCCTTGCTGACACTTCCTTGCCGCACGCACACAGGATCTCTCCAATCATCCAGGCTGCTATGGCACCGTCACGACCCAAGTAGAAGTCAACATCTCCGACAACACCGACTTCCAACCGATGACCCCGACCTCACCGGCCCCGTCCATTACCGAGGTCCCCCTTGCTACCCACCCCCCGGGTCAGAACAACGGTATCCACCCTTGGGACTCCAACTACTCCTCGTCTTCCTCTTCCAGCGAGGACCACATCGTCCCTCCCGCCGCCGTCTACGCCGGCTCTAGCTCCCCTCCCTTCGGTATCCACGTGCACCACGCAACCAACGAGACCACTCACAACGGGGTCCCAAAATCCAGCCTCAAAAAAACCACCACATACATCTCCCAAGGGGACCGTCCCTACCACCACGGCCCCGGCTACGGCCACACGTACTCCTCCTACAACCGCACCTCGAACACTACCACCACGGGCACGCACCAGGTCCACGCCTCCTCCTCCGGCGGGCACCAATCCGCCTCACGCTTCCACACTCTCCGGTCCTCCCTCCGCCGTCCCTTTCGCAAATTCTGGGCCAAGCTCCACCGCCTCGACCCTATCAAGCTTGCCTATCTGCGGACTTCCTTCGTCTTTGCCATTTCCATCCTGGTCACCTGGACGCCGTCCAGCATCAACCGGGTGCACTCGTTGCTCTACCCCAAAGATACCAGTTACCCGCTGAATCTGGCGAGCGCGGTGGTGTTGCCGCTGCAGGGGGTGTGGAACGCGGTGATCTTTGCGGCGACGACGTGGGTGGTGTTGAGGGAGGAGGTGGACGGGTTGTGGAAACGGAGTTCGTTGGGGAGGTGGTGGGAGAGGAGGAGACGAAGAGGAAGAGGAAGGACGACGACTACTAGCGAAGCACGTACTGCAGTTGTCAACATGATGATGATGGGTGGTGGTGGTGGTGGTGGACATGGACATGGACAGAGAGGGGTTCGGCTGGGGAGTGATGGGTTGCCTTGTCCTCGTCCTCCTCCTCCTCTGTCTTCTACTACTGCTGCTGCTGCTGCTACTGCTGCTACTACCAAAAAGTCTACGCAGGGGTATAAAGCGTGGAGAAACGGGAATGGAGGCTCGTATAACGGCTATGGTGTTCATTCGACGGTGATGAAGGATGATGATTTTCTGGAGACGAGGAGCCATTGTAGTGGCGGTGCTAGTGGTGGTGGTAAGAAGAAGAGCGGCAAGAAGGGGCCGATGGATCCCAATCGGTTGGGCACCGTGCGAGTCATTAGGGATGGCTCGTTATGATTGTGTCTTTAACCTACTTTTCATGTTTTTCTTGCTTTTTTCTTACTCCTTTTGTTTTCTTCTTCTTGCTCTTTTTTCCTTTTTCTTTTCTCCCCTCGGTGTGTATCTGGTTTCGGAATTCGGTCTCATGGTCTGTGTCGTATAATGATGGGAAAAAAATTCGGTCTGGTCTAATGTGTGTCGACTTTGCTTTCCGTGGCTCGTCCATGTTGCAGGCGTTTTGGCTTTGCCTTTACTCGTGGTCGGTTGGTTATTGGCGTCTATTTCTCTTTTCGCTGATACCAAGGGAATTTACCTCTAATGAAAGGTACGGGATGAAGAGAACATGGAGAATTATGGTGAATGGGATATACCATTGAGTCACCCTTTGGTTGCTTGGCCCCAGGGAAAGGAAGCCATAGCAGGCTTAAAGTAGGTACCTTAGTCTACCTCTACGTACGATAGTGTCTATGTAAAATATTGTAACCTTGTGACTACCTATTACAATGAGCTACCAGTCTAACTAATGCAACTACGTGATGTGACAAACGCGACTTGGGATGAAAGGAGTGTGAGATCACTTGAAGTCAACCGGCATATCGAGGAAAGCTGGGGATAGATCTGATGACATTGTCAAGAGCCTCGCACAACGTCCAAAATATTTTCCAATATCAAGGAGGAGCGGTTGTAGATGACCTAAAAAGCCTATTAGGGTGTCGGAAAATAGTTGATACGTGTCAAGAATGCCTGGAGGTACCTACCTACCAAGGAAGTTTATATGCCGCGAGTATGACCGATTTACATAGGGAAGACCTTTAGTTGGCCTGAAACCGTTCCGAAAAGGATAGTGTACTGTTATAGATCCAGGGCTTCCCGGCTGGGAAGGGGGTGTGTCCATGACCAAGATACCTAGGATAAGAAGGAGACGACGACGGTCAGTTGAGTCTGTTTTCTTACAAGTTTCCTTCACTAGGGTGAAGGCGAACATCTGATCTCGAAAATTCGGCATAGCTTTCAGGACTGGTGTCCTACGAATAGGAAGCAGACAAGAGTTACCACTACCTGAGAATAGGTAGGAATGAACTACTAGGTACTTGAGCCGTTTGGTTGCTTTTGGAGGGAATGGCTATTGCAGTTGTTTCCGTCGATAATAGCGATGTAGACTAAAGAGTTAGGGGGAAGAGGAACTAACCTTCTTCCAAGACATCGAGAATTTTCAAGCATCAGACACGATCTGGATCTATGAAGTTGCTATCATGGAATATCAGGGACTCGCAATTTTACTCCTATAATCAGCGTAGCTTCCTTGGTAGAGGAACATCGTTTGGGCTTATTGTCCATAAGAAGGACAACCCAGCATCTTACCAGACCTCTACAAATCGCATTATGCCACAATGGCAGGTACAACCCAGCACCTTGCTTTTCACGCTGCCATTTGCGAGCACGCATGCATCTATTACGACGAGGAGGATGACTTTCGAGTTCTACATTTTTGTCCCTTGATACCTTTAGCGATTTTGAGTTCAACGAGTGGCGCGCTACATATACCTGAACACCATTTAAAATATCACCGGATTATTTGTTTGGGAAGACATGGGAAAGATATAACTTTCCCGTGGACTTGGAATTTTCAGCGACAAGTTAGAAATAATTAGAAACCCGAAACTACCCACTAAAACGACTAGTATTATATAATAGGTCGTAGGTAGTGGAACAGAGCACGTTTAGGAATGTGGATAGGGGAGGGTACGGGGAAGCCTTCGCAACCTTAATATAGAGACAGCGGTCGAGATACCTCTAACAATGGATGTGACGAGGCAAGTGAAAACCACCTTATACTGTACGTAAATATAGGTAGGGAGATTGATATTAGAGGTACGAGAGAAAAAAAGTGATTTTGAGCCCAATCTCGGCAGATTCAATATCCTCCCTATCGCGTAATATGCTGTTCGTCCATTATGCCTCTGCAAACAAACACCAGGCCTCCGAAAATGAACATAATGCCTCTAGTCCACCTAAAACCCCCTCAAAATTCACGCATTGGCGCCTTCACGGCGGGTCATCCGCTCCTTCTCCAACTCAACAATGCCCAGTACAAACTTCCTAGGCAACGCCAGGATCTCGCCGCCCAACTCCTTATCGTTCTCGAGGGCCTGTTCCAGAATGGTCGTCGAGTTTTCGAGGTAACTGACCGTGAATGCCTTCCAGGCCTGCTTCTCCGCCTCGGATTCCTTGAGCGGCTTAGGAAAGTACGGGTCATTGAGTTTGACCGCTTCCACGGCCAAAGCAACCCCGGCATCATTGGAGGTGATGTTCCTCACCTGGTTGAAGTCCAGGACCCACATCTCTGTCTCCCGACAGAAGAAGTCTTCGAGGCCGCGGTAGGTGGAGGGACCGACGTACTGCGCCTCGGCATCGTCCTCGATGTTGTCGAGGTCATCTTCGAGGGTGGCTTTCTTGGTTGAGCTGCTGCCCAACACAAACTCGACGTCGCGGGCGTCAGTCTTCGCCCCCCAGTGCATCACGGCAAGGGCAATGCCCATTCTACGGGCAAGTTCCTCAATGTCGAGATTAAGCTCGATGAGCTGGTTGAGGTGCAGCTTGAGGTTCCGAAGGGAGAAGAACATGCTGCTGCTCTTGCCGTTTGTCGAGCCGAGGTAGACCCGCACCAGGCAGTCGTTATTGGCTGGGTTGGCCAGGGCCTTCTGCTTGCCTCGGGGAGCGCAGTACTTTTCGATGAGGAGATGGCGGGTGCTGCGGGGGAGGGGGAGGATGCGCTCGGCAATGAGGGCGTGGGTAGGAACGGTGCAGATGTTCTCTGCTGCTTTGGTGAGGCCGGGTTCCGCATCCCAAAACTCCGTGTTCTTGGGCGGCACAAATCCAAGCAACTTGGGCACCCGGACTTCTTCAACTTGGTACACCCTGTTAAGAAGGCGTGATATTTTACGATGCTGCTGGAAATCATTCCACAGCTCCTTGCTGTTGGGGTCCTTGGCAAGCTTGACGACGACTGATTTGCCCTCTTGGGCGAAGATGGCACCGCAGGCGCCGGCACCAATCTTCCGGTAGGGGCAAGGGGTGGTCGGGGCATGGTTCTCTTCCTCGGTGAAGAAAGAGGAAGGCGAGGTGGAGTGGAGGGAGAGGGCCAGGCGGAGACTTTTGTCGAGGACGGATTCCTCGTGGGAGCGCGTGGCTGGGAGGGGACTGGGAGCGCCTGGCAATTCGGACTCTTTCAAAATTTCGTTCATCGCCGAGGAGACATCGGGGGTCGAGGAGGAGGGGAGTAGAGGCAGGCTGCGTTGAAATTGAAGAGGCATATTGTTGTAGACGAAAGGCGTATTAGTAGGCGACGATGTGTTGGTTAGTGACGAATTGGCTTCGAAAAGGTTATCAGAGACATCGAAGGAAGAAAACAAGGGAACGGGCGAAAGACAGAAGACGTGAAATTTTATAGACAGATTTCCCAGATTTCCAAACGCGTAGCTGTGTGGGCATGCAAGTCTTGATGTCCGTTTTTTCATGTACCTGCTGTGCATAAGGCACTGACCCTTCCCGAAACTTCCAAGACCACAAATCACTACCAGCACATGGCTCAGAGACCACCTATAGAAGTTACACTTCATTCTACTTGGGAAGGTGAATCCGGCTTTTCATTTAAGGTAGGAGGTGTGAATAAAGGGGTTGAGGCAGGGATTGCTCCAAAAGCAGCGGGTAAAGGTGCAGTTGCTGGCTGGGTCCACCCACTTACACGCGATTGACCAATTACCGGTACTTCTTTCCCAAGGTTGTCCAATCATAGCACGAGGCCGGGAAATCATGAGCGAAGGAGCGCCGACAGTTGGGAATGAGCAGACTTTTCAGTTTGAAATCTTGAAAGACTGGGCAGCTCGCGGTCAAGGCATATACTTTCCTGCCTCAAGAATTCGAGAGGAAAGGATCATGGTCGATTATTTGAAAGAACAGCGATCAGTTTGAATTGACGGCCCTGATTTGGCGAATGCCAGTGACAATACATAGAAATAGAAAGTACAAGACAAAAGGGGCTAAGAGCTGAAGCCTCCTCAGGTCCAGCGTTGTCCAGCCTTTGTTCTACCACCCAATCTACCAGATACAAATGGAAGATAACAGAGTTCACTCAAAAAAAAAAAANAAAAAAAAGAAATTAACTAAGACCTAAATATGGTGCAAAGCCGGACACCGACACGCATACCCCATCACTTGAAGATGTTCCGGAACGAAGAAGTGTGTCTCTTCATGGGATGGTCCGGGAGAGAGGGAGGGCTGACTCCATATTTGTCTTGATCAGTCTTCTGGTTTGTTTGTGACGTCCTCCCACCATCGTATAACGCATCTAACTGTCCATAATCGCTTTCTGCGATTTGCAGTTGTCGCGGTGGTACCGGAGGTGGCAACTGGGGCGGGCCCCGGGCCGTGGCCTCCACAACTGCATTGCTACGCGTATCCCCGGCTACATTGGGGGTACTCTCAGGTAGTGGTCTTCGTCGAGGTGTGCTGGAAGACCTAGAGAATTGATCCGTAGCCGATTGCGGTTCGTCTTCGCCAGATGTGCCATCGGTGAGATCACCATGTTCGTCTGGTTGCTAAGAGGATTGTCAGTCTGCTGCTACTGCGTTCCAAGGAGGCCGGGTCAATTATACCTCTCTGAGTTCCTTGCGCATCGCCAAACCGGTACAGGCATCTTTCGCCTCTTCAATGGCCTTCCGCTGTGCCGTCAAGGCTTGTCGTCGGTCCCTTGTCTCCTGATTCTCGGCAGCAATGGATTGAACCACCTCACTGGTCATCGCCATGACTTCAGCAGGGTTAAAGATGCCATACATGCCTTGCAGAAGATGGCGCTCAACTACTTGCGTGATAACGTTCCGAATGAATGTTTTCGCAGACAGCTCATAGAAAATCAGCATCTTCTCCAAGATCTCCTCGGCTTCTGTGTAAGTTGCTCCGGTCTCAGCACCCTTGCTCTTCCAGGCCACCAGACGTTCTTGATATTCAGGATCGTAAGGCTGAACCTCGAGGTTCAGGTCTTGCAATAGATGTTTCAGTTCTCGGTTTGCTTCGTCCATCAGCGCCTTCATATGAGAGTCCAGGAAGTGACGGCGCAAAGGCTCTCGCATGCGCTGGGGCCAGATATAATTGATGACCTCGCGGAGAAAATCGTTGCAGACCGCTCCAACGTTATCCTTGTGCTCTTGTGCTAGTCTAGGCCAAGGCTCTGAATGGCTTTGGAATAGCATGTAAACCGCTCTAGGCGTGGAATCCATGGGAAATTCTGATCCTCGAATTTGATGTAGAAGTCGGCTGACCTCTAGACGGGCATATTCAGACTTGGAGTAGCTCGATGCTGATTGTTTATCGGCAGGAGAAGGATCACTGGAAGCAGAGAGCTTGAACTTGCGGCCGTCAGCTCGGATTCTGGCCGAAAACCGATCGTTTTCCTCGGCGGCACGTGCCCGAAGGTTTTGTGCCGGCGTTCCCTTTGGGTCTGCAGTTACACGAAAAAAAGTCTTCCTGGGTGGGTTTTTGTAGAAGCCGTGGGCTGCGGGGACAACGAGCTCATTGGAAAAATAAAACAGTTCAATGAGCTCTAAGCGCATTTCTTCGGGTGTGCTTTTGGCAGTGCCAAGCGACTTGAGTTCAGCATCACAATCATCCAAGGCCTTTTGAATCTGTCTGCGTAACGCGCTGACATGTCTCCCAATGTGCTGCTGAAGCTGGAGGCTTAACCTTTGCTTCAGAGCGCTGGCTCCGCACATGGACGCCGGAAGCGAGCTCCATTTGCCTTTGGAGAAGAAATCCCGTTCAGTCGACCGGCGTTGCTCCGCAGAAGGCCAGGGTTCTCCTTCTGTTCGCGGGCCAGGGTTCAGAAGGACGTACCAGCCCAAACGAAAATGGTTACGCCGGTCATTGTTCTTGACGAGCTCGATGAACTTGTCTTCAAGACCAATGGAGTCGGTAAGATCAGGCTTGGTGAGAACGCCGATGGTGCGGGTACCGTTAGGGTCGAAATGTCGAGCCTTGGTCAGTATGGGAGCCTGGACGTAATCGGAGTTCCCGCCAACGACGGCAAGAATGATGGTACGGGGACTCCGCATGTATCGATCGGAAAGCGCTTCGATGATACGGATGTCTTCAAGGGACTGGTCCTTGTTGGGATTCCGTACCAAACCAGGTAAATCGACAAGAGTCAACAGTGGCATATCCGGTCCTTTCTTCTCCACCACCAGAATGTCCCGTGCAGCAAACCGTCCTGGAACACCCTTTGGAGCAATGAGTTCTGCGGCTCCCATTACCGTAAGATCGAATGGGGAGCTACTGTTGACCAGACGACCAAACTCTAGCAGTTGTTGTTGCTCGCTAGAAGGGCGATTTCTGTCGGGAATGATGGAGACAGTGATGCTGGACTCGGGGGATCTGCGCAATCTGATTTCGGTAGCAAACCTCGTACAAGCGCCAGCTTCGCGGGGGAACGGGATTCCAGTGAGAGCTTCGAGGACAGAGCTTTTGCCAGCCGACTGGTCGCCGACGACCACTATCTGAGGCAATTTGACATTGTCGAGTTGGGCGTATTGCAGTTTCTCGAGCAGGTCAAGCAACTGTCCCTGTTCACCGGCCAGGTCTCGGGCATCGAAAGTTGATTCAAGGGAAGATGACATGACCACCCGGAGAGCGCGAGACGAAAGAGATGTAGTGGATTTGATTGCTTGACTGTAATTATGGAGCGAGCAGAAGAAACACAAAATGTTGAACACTGAGAAACTTAAGCTTGACAACAGTCAAGAAGAAGAAGAAGAAGAAGAAGAAGTGATGTTTGACGACGAATGATACCGACCTGAGCACACTGGATGTCTCAATCAAGACTTTTGCCTATTCATGGCAGCATCAACGCGTGGGTAAACATGAAGAGAGTGCAATCTGAGCATGACTTGGTGACACTTGCCAAAGGACATGGTTTTAAGGTGTTACGTATAAATCGTAGCCAGTGCAACCGCGGTGTTGGAGAGCTAGAGGTAGTAGGTAGTATGAAGCTGCGACCAATGCGCGACTGTCCGATACAGCATTTCTGCGGAATGGGCGAGTCGAGGGGAAAACATGGGCAATTCCATGAGTGCAGTGGCGACACAGAGAACATATGATAACGTTCAAACCTAACCGTCAAAGATGTTGTTGTGGTTCGGTTCGTTCGTTGCGAACTGACGGATCGATTAACTGTTCGGCGGAGCCTGCCGGGAGCTGTGGCTGTGCTGAAGCCCTGCAAGGCTGCCACGCGTGGCTGATCATTCTTGGTCCACTTCTTCAGTTCGTTAGGCGGGTGCGGCGGGACTGAGTGCCCAACGGTGAGTGGATCACTAGGAAGCAACGTCACCCCGCATGACGGCGCCCAGCCTCCAGTCGAACCCCCAGTTCACAGCGGTGTCGACCACTCACTGTCACGCCTTCCGCCTTGTCGTCTCCAGTTGATGCTGCCTTGTGCAGAACATGCCGGCGCTATCATGATGGAAAGTTAGCGCAGGACAACACAACCTGGCACCACTGCGGGCACCACTCTCACGCCTCCAGATCCGCAAAACGAACCCCCCGGCTGCACTGCTGCATGACCAAATTTCAAATCACACCCGACGGGCACCTATCTTAGGTTCAGTTGCGCCTCAGCCTGACAAGAAGATCTTTTCCTCCTCCTCCTCCTCCTCCTCCTCCAGTCCTCCTTCTCCTCCTCTTCCTTCCTCGAATACGATGTGGCTGTACTAGGGTGAACCACATCCCAATGTCGCCCGCGTTTACACGACCACCCGATCCCACTTACGCCTAACCCGCCTGTTTACGCGAACCTCAAAGCACGAATCCGGAGGCTGAAACCGATATCCGATCTAGCGCACGCTCCCGCCTGTGGCCGGCCACAGCACAGCGATCCGCCATGAACTGGATACTTGAGGCTGGAGATGTCGACCAGGGAAGGTGCAAAGGCGAGGACTATGTTGGCCCGGGAAACAAGGATACCTGGTACCAGTTTATCATCTCGGTCTCTCTGGGCATCTCGGCCTTTCTAGCTTTTTGCGTGAGTACCTTACACCCAATTACAGGCGTCATATCATCATCTGCTAACCTACATGTCCCCAATATCCAGGCCCTCCGACCACGATGGAAGTCTCTCTACGCTTCGCGAAAGCGGGCGTCCATGGTCGACCCCTCGATCGCTCTCCCTCAACTCCCAGATACCTTCTTCGGATGGATGGGCACCCTATATCGCGTCACCGAGCGGCAGGTCCTCGCCTCGGCCGGCCTTGACGCCTATGTCTTCCTCAACTTCTTTAAGATGGCCATGAAGCTGTTCGTCATCGTCTTCTTCTTCGCCTTGGCCGTTCTTGAACCCATCAACCGAGCTTTCCCCGATGACCTCAACACGTCAGAGGTTCCGCCCGCCCAAGTCTTTCGCCAGTATACTTACCCGTACGGCCACACAACTCTTTACGATGACGACCCCGACCAGCCTGATGACAGTTTCAAAAAGAGCAAGCGCTACCTGTGGTCATATCTCGTCTTCACATACTTCTTCACCGGTCTCACGTTATTCTTGATGAATCGCGAGACCTTCAAGGTCCTCCGTGTGCGTCAGGACTACCTTGGTACACAATCCACCATTACTGACCGGACCTTCCGTTTGTCTGGGATCCCCAAGGATCTGCGCACAGAGAAAGACATCAAGAATCTGGTAGAGAAGTTGGAAATTGGCAAGGTCGAAAACGTCACCCTGTGCAGGAAGTGGAAAGAGCTGGACGATTTGATGGACAAGCGACAGGCTATTCTTGCCAAGCTAGAGGAGACATGGATCGCTTACCTGGGCCAGAAACCGGTGCAACTAGCGAGGGGTCCGCCTCCAAACACGACTGCCAACGGGGATCTTGAGAACGGCCGCCTCATTCCAGATCTTGGGGATGAGGAAGCAGGCGAGACCGGCCGTCTTCTCGGCAACACCACTTCTGATCTCATCTCGAGCGAGAGACCGCGGCCTCAGACTAGGATTTGGTACGGCTTCCTCCGCCTGCAGAGCCGCAAGACCGATGCTATTGACTACTACACGGAGAAACTGCGTGTCTTGGACGACCAGATTCGTGCCGCCAGGAAGAAGCACTATGAGCCGACCGACCTTGCTTTCGTGACCATGGACTCTATTGCAGCCTGTCAAATGGCAATTCAGGCGCTCATTGACCCCCATCCTGGCCAGTTGCTAACAAAACCAGCCCCTGCGCCATCCGACATCGAATGGAGAAACACTTACGCATCGCGCCTCACCAGACGGGTGCGATCCGTTGCAGTGACGCTCTTCGTCGCGTTCCTCACCGTCGTATGGCTTGTCCCAGTTGCCTTCCTGGCATCTTTCTTGAGCATTTGCACCATTGAGTATTACTTTAAGGGCTTCGCGATGTGGCTCAAACAATATGACCTTGCCAGAGCACTTGTCCAGACCGGTCTCCCCACAGCCGTTGTGTCGTTGCTCAACGTTGCGGTTCCGTACTTCTACGACTACCTCTCGTACCAACAGGGCATGCTCTCACGCGGTGACGCCGCCCTCTCCACCATCAGCAAGAACTTCTTCTTCACCTTCTTCAACATTTTCCTCATCTTCACAGTCTTTGGCGCCGTCACCTCTATCATCGATGTTCTGCGCGAAAGTCTGAAAGACACCACATACATTGCTTACGCCCTGGCCAGCAAGATCGAAAACCTCGGTGTCTTCTACACCAACTTCATCATGCTCCAAGGCATTGGCCTGTTTCCCTTTCGCCTGCTGCAGTTCGGCAGCGTTTCCCTCTACCCCATCAATCGCCTAGGCGCCAAGACCCCACGCGATTTCGCCCAAATCGTCAGCCCGCCCATGTTCTACTACGGCTTCTACCTCCCCACCGCCCTGCTCGTCTTCATCCTCTGCCTCGTCTACAGCGCCCTGCCACAGGGCTACAAGGTCGTCGGCCTCGGTGTCGCCTACTTCACCCTCGGCTACTTCACCTACAAGTACCAGCTCCTGTACGCCATGGAGCAGCCCGCGCACGCCACCGGTGGCGCCTGGAACATGATCTGCTACCGCATCATGCTCGGCCTACTGGTCTTCCAGCTGACCATGTCGGGCTACCTCGCACTTCGCAAGGCATTTACCGCCGCTCTGCTCGTCTCCCCGTTGCTAATTATCACGGTCTGGTACGGGTATTCGTTCCGTCGCCACTTTGAGCCGCTCACCAAGTTCATTGCGCTGCGGAGTATCAAGCGCGGCGAGGACATTGGGGAAAATGCGATTTTGGATGAAGATCTAGATGGCGAAGGGGCGGAGACGAGGGAACGCATTAGGAGGGGGAGTACTTTGGATGAAGACAAGGAGAAGGGGGCCAAGTTTGTCAATCCGAACCTTGTGAAACCGTATGTTTTCTTTTTCTTTCTTTTTTGTTAATCTCTTCCCTGCACTGCTTGTACATCCTCGCTAACACACCCCCAACAGCCTCGAACAACCCTGGATTTTCAAAGACGCCCCACCACTGCTCTACCCCTCCTCCAGCCTTTCTGATGTGGAAGACCGCTACACAGACGAGGAGCCTAACTCCGGGGGCGGTAGTGACGTCTACTCGGGCTCTCGACGTCCCACTCGCAACGCTAACGGCCTTCGTGTCGAGACCTCGCGCGGTAGTTCGCAGAGTCGCGCAGACAGTGGTGGTGGTTATGCAGACCTATTAGGCGCGGATATGTACACCGGCCTTGGTAGGGGAGGAGAGAGGACGCCCCGGACTCCGGCTGCTGACACGCCGAGGAGTAACGCATCGAGTGCGGCAAGTCTTGGTGATACCCATATATGGAGAGACGGGTTCTGAATCTGAGCTAGAAAAGAGAGAGAAAAGAAAAAGAAAGTCGATGATTGATATGATGAAAGAAAAAGGAGGGTGTTGTTGTATTCCATCGGATTGTTTGTTTGGTGTTGTTGTTGTTGCAGCTCGCTGCTGCTGCTGATGGTCATTGTACTGTTTCTCTTTCTTTCTCTTTTTTCTTTTTCTTTTTTCTCTCTCCTGCCTTTTTGGTTGGTTCTGGGTCGTTGGGGCGGCGTAGTTGTCACTTTTTGTTTTATTCCTTTCTTTTCGCTTTAGACATGAGATATGAGAAACATACATCATTCTTACAACAAAAGCTCTCCATATGGGGCGTGGGTGTTATATACCATTTACACATTGCAGACATTGCTACCGATGATATAAACTAGATGGGCTGATGGTCGTCTAAATGCCCAAAGTGGAACACTTCCTTGCTCATATACTTTCATCAAAGATGGACCTTAGGGTGTCTTATACCTAATATTCATTGGGATGCAAAGCGCCGTGAATACCGCTAAACTTAATGGTGTCTTGCTGTAACGTGCCATGCTTTGAGGCTACTCGCCGCGGATGTCAAACTCACTGCACAAGAAAGCGCTCATGTCATTTTACTTTTTCTTTTTTTTTTTTTTTTTTTTTTTTCTGATCCGACAGCTACATCTACAAACTATTTCCCACTCGTCCTTGTATTCGGAACAAAGTGTTTACAAGTGAGCAAGTAATTTCCGACCGATATCCGGCAACCTTTTGACCTTCAAAATGTTCAAACCCCCTTCACCTTTCTGGACTAATCTTCCTTCCTCCGCTTCTGTCTTCCTTCACGTTCTGCATCACTCTCGGCTCCAGCACCTTCTCCTTCCTCGCCCCCATCATTCTCAGCAGCAGGCCGCTTTCGTCCACCTTGACTAACGTCCATAACCTTATCAGCTTCTTCAGGACGGCCTTCACCGACCTCTCCAGCATTCTCATCAACTTCTTCCGCCTCATCGTTTTCCTCTCCCTCCTCAACACCAAACCACCTAAGCGTGAACTCGGTCTGCAATCTCCGAAGGTACGAACCCAAGGCGGCATCGTCCATGGTCGAGTCGAGGGCTTGTTTCATAACAACAGGCAAAGCTAGCGTGAGCTTCCTTTGTCTAGCCTCCCTTCCCTTTTCTCCACTCTGCGGTGGCCTTTGACCCTCACGCAAGGCTTTCAGAACCTCCTCAGCGTTGTCCACTATGGATGCAGGAAGAACGCAGCGCGCTAGTTCGATGCCGTAGTCCTCATTCTGCACGGGACCTCCGGCGAGAGTGTGTGGCAGTGTGATCTGGGTGATTTGGCCTACTGCTTGGCTTTGGCCTTGGAAGTGAACGTTCAAGACATCTCTCGGATAGATTTTGTTCAAAAGTTGAGCTAGTACGACTGAGATTAGCTGTGAATCAACGAAGAGAGACGCTCTTTGAACCTACGAATACGTGTGAAATGCGTTGCAAAAAAGACACGTGGTTTCATCTTGATTAACTTCTCGATGATAGCAATGGCGAGAGCCTGACCGTCTTTTGGAGAAGTTCCCCGGCCAAGCTCGTCCATGATGATCATGCTTTGTGCTGTGGCTTGCCTAGACATCCCGTTAGATCATTTACTTCGAGCTTTTGTAGGGGAGGAAAGGATACCTACCTCAAGATGACATTCGTCTCCCTCATCTCCACACCAAATGTTCCCAGGTTATTCTCAGGCGCATCGTCCGTGGAGACTCTAGCAAAAACTTTGTCACAGATGGAAATGGACGCAAATTGCGCAGGGACAAAGGATCCCATCTGTGCCATGATTTGAATGAGGGCAACTGATCGGATGAACGTGCTCTTGCCGCTCATGTTACCGCCAGTGATCACCTGGAAACGTCCGGATTGATCACCAGAATACACGTCGTTGGCAACATAGTGGTTTGTCCGTGCCTCGACAATTGGATGCCTTGCCTGTTTGATAACCATGCTATCAGTGATCATGGGTCGAACGTAGTCCTGGGTAGTGGCAGCCTGTGTGAATGAGCAAAGCATATCGAGCAATGCAATAGCATCGCTGATATCGAACATGAGACTCGAATGCTCTTGAAGTCTCCCTTTGAGCTCGATAACCAATCTATCGCTCTGCATCGTTGCAATATCTGCCTGGAGCTGAATAGCCCTGCTCCTCTGGAGAAGCTCGGTTGTCTGGCATTTGAAATGCTTTTTATCCCTAGTGCCGTTAATCATATCGAGACCGGCAATCGAGACCTGCTTCCAGTGGCTGACTTCGCCGGAATTCCCCTTTTGAACGTCGGATTGAGGTTGTATTTCACGTTCGACATCCGAGTAATCAAACCTGAGCCAATACCGCCGGTTGCTGTCCATGTACAAGTTTGCACGAGTTCCCAAAACCTCTAAACTGCGTCAGTGATGATAATCTTGATGCAGGGAGATTGACCTACCATTGAACTGGTTGTCTAGCATATCAAAATACTCATTGAGGTCATTCGTAAGAGCTGTGAATGACCTGCGTGCTTTTCCAAGAACGGAATTACGCACAGCCTGCCGAATAACTATTAGCCCCGTAAACGAAAACCAAGCAGAGATGACTTACTCTGACGGCCCACATCCGATTGTTCCTCAATTCTATTGGCTTTTTGCTGTAGGCAGCATCATCTTCTATCATCTCTTCCATGGCCCTTTGAACGGGCTCAGTGTGCTCTGGTGCAAACCTATCCCTGATCCATCTCAATAGACGGCTTTTGCACCCAGCTGCTTCAAGTATACCATGCAATGCGTCAATGCCACTAAGATACTTCTTCAGCATGAGTATGGAGTTCAACTCCTGTTCCGCTTTGGTAAGCTCCGCGTGGGTTGGTAGGAGTAGGCCTTGATTTGTACATCCTGGAACGCCTTCTTCCAGAGGCTGCCGTGGGTTGGGTTGTTCCTGGCTGATCTTTGAAAGAATTAGCATGCTAGAGGGACTGAGAGTGTTAAAAGCAACTTACCCATACGATGACGCGCTCAAAGTCGATTCGAACAAGCTCTTCGAGTGCTTTGCGCAACTCACGAAAAAGTTCTTCGTTAGTAGACAACTCCTCAACTGATTCATACCGTTCTATAACCTCTTCCTTGTTTGTACTCGGCTGTAAGAGGGTTGTGCGTAGCAAGCGGTTTCCTTGGGGGGTTTTGGTACTGTTGAGTATACCGAAAAGCGTCGAATTCTTTGCAGTGGCTCGTCGTGTATTTTGAAGCAGCTCCAACGAGGCAACGGTGGTGCGGTCAATACCCATGGTGTTGAGTGGCTGGATATACCTGATTCGTAACGCATTGCTGGCAAAATGAATGTTCAGCTCGTTCTGTACATACTTCATTACCTTGATATAGTTAGCCAACAGTCTTATCTCCACGATGACGCCGATAACTTACAGCAGAAAAGGCACAAGGAGTGTAGAAGTTGTTCTCAAGGTCTGACTTGAGAGCAATCACATGATCCCGAAGTGCAAAACGCTCAATCATCCTGAGCCCTTCTGCCTCACTCCAATGTTCCCTTCCCCAAAGCACTATGGGGACTGCTGGGAAGTCTTGCTCCAGACAAGAAATGAGTAAAGACTTGCTGCTATTGGTGGTGACGCTGTTGACGACAAGGAACTTTTCCGGCTTTGACGACATCTTCCACAATGTGTCTCCCAGACGCTGATACAAGTACTTGTCATCGTTCAGAATTCTGGCTAAATCCACTTGTCCCGTAGTGATATTGATGACGGCAATGCCAACCACTTCCGCAGAGCGACTCTCTGATATAGCACAGATGACGTGATCGTTTTCTTCAGTACTGACGGTTGGGGCCGATTCTTTCTGTGGAGTTATGATTGAAGAGGAGCCAACTAGGCGGTGTCTTTTCTCAAGGCTTGACTCTTCAGCATCTGAGTCGGAATCGGAGTCACTCAAGACAGGCGTGGGCAAGGTTGATCTGGTGCTCATTGCTTGAGTCTTGCTAATGCGATCGTACAATGAGGTGCGTGGTAGGCGTAATGTAGTCTCAGAGGTGTCTCGTTGAGAAAACGAGTTGGATGTACTGCTCCGAGAGCTTGAATGAGAGATCACAGGTGAACTCATCTCTCGAGAGCCGGGAGTCGTGCCGGGACACTCCTTCAAGCCCTTTAGAGGAGCCCTACTCGAGTACTTGGCTCTGGGAATACTTGCGCCGCGGCCATTTCCCTGTTCTTCTCCCCTATACCGATGATAGGAAGACGAGCTTGTGGTACCAAGGGGAGATGGGTGTACATTTTGCACACTGGGTGTTCTGGGGATGTCGCGACGCGCACCCATATTTGAGCGTCGTGACTTCACAGGAGTAGAATTTTGTGTGCTCGTGCTGGCTGGCCGGCTTAGCGGTAACCGTCTGTGTTGGCGTCCATTATGGGTTCTGGGAGAGCTTGAAGCTGAAGTATTGCCAAAATAAGGGGAGCTGCAAAAATCTCTTCTAGGCTCTTCTCTGATTGATGAGCTTTCGGTGACACGGCGCTGGGGCGTGATGTGTGCTGGTCCTGATCCAGGACCCCAAGATTTTGTTGCTGTGATGTTCTCAAAAGCAAGATATGGGTAACTCGCTCCGGCGAAGTTTCCGTTGGACCTCGGGTTATAGCTGTGCTCGGGGCCATACCCGGGTTGATAGCTGAATTCAGGCTTACGGGGATCGGATATGGGAGTGTGGGGAGCGTAGGTGTTGACGGGGTGCAAGGCGTAGTTGCCTGTCACATAGAAGTCAGCTCCTTGCCACTAGTTTTCTTCATTTGATAGGTTTGACTCTAGACTTGATGTCGTACCATGGGTATCAGGCAAGTAGCGCTGATGACTCTGGGAAACAGGGTATCCGTGTGGGACCTGCCTGCCTCTAGGATCCTGCCAGTTATACTGGGTGGGAGGGCAAGTTGGCAGCTGTGGATGTGGGAGCGGCTCTGGGATCATGGTAGTATGAAGGGGCGGCCTGGACTTGATAACAACATCATCCATGAGCGCTGATCCCCTTGCAAAGGTTTGATGGCGTGGCTCGCTTCCGATGGCAGCACCGGACAAGGCTCTCCTGCGGTAGTCATCGGACAGGAGGCGAGGAAACCGACCCTGGTGCGCGTGGAAGTCCTCTCCCATGGCGCCGGAATTAATGGGACTGCTGTCAATAGGTCAAGGTGAGGGCGAATGGGAGTTGTTCAGTTGTTTTGTGACTGGTTGTTGACCTTTGAGTGAGAATCTGGGGAAAGTGTTGCGACGATGAACGCGTCTTGGACTGGGAAGAGCGCAAAGTCAACACTGCCATGAATTGGAAGCAGAGGGGAAATCCAGCGTATGGCGCATAACGTAGTTTTCATAAGTGCGGGTAAGGAAGGTGGATGGAAGGAAGGAGCGCCCGGGTTGGTTCAACTTTGTGCTTTCGATGCTCCCGTCTACTTAACGTTATGCGCCTTCCTAGAATCCCACTTCAAATACCTATGGCACACCAAAAAGAGGGCCAAAAGGACACGCCTGCATTCGCTCCTTCCTCTCAGTACCCATGTAATGAACTGATGTCCAGCTGACTTCTTGTAATGAGACCAATGATCATAATCCTCCACTTCCACCTCTACTGGTCCCCGTCTTGTCGGCAACTTCTTGTTCGGTGTGGCTCTCTGACATGATGGGAGACTGACAAAGCTCAGTTCAGAATAGACATCGCCAAACCGAACATCTTTCAATGTCCCTTCATATCTCCTTGACGAAGCCTACCTCGACCAGACGATCCATCGCCAACTGCAGATTCGCAATCTTTGCCCGGGTGTTGTCCCTGATCCACAGAAACACCGACAACATGAACCTTCGAGCAATCGGTGCACCCGTCTTGATTCGCATCTGTTCCTTTCCGACCACGTACAGAATCTTGGAAGCATACGCGCGGTCAAGACGAGCCAATTCTGCCGCCGCCTCTTCATCACGGAGCTCGACGGGGAGTAGCACACCATCAGGACCCGATGCCCCTGATGATTCTGTCCGGTGAGAAGTCTCCCCCTTTGCAGCCTCCTGTTCCCCTTCGCAGTCCGTATCCTCACCTGTCCTCAACTTCTCTAACGCTCTCATCCTCTCCGTAGCCTGTCGCACTACAAACCGCCTGATTTGTTCGTAGATCAAAGCGGCCAAGTCAGGACTTATCACCTGATCCATGAAACCATGCTTGATCACCAGCCTATAACACCCTGGCACCGCAGTGACATGCGACACAGCATACCGCTCCTCGGGCAACACCGTCGGCGCCTCAACTGGATGCAGATGGAAGAACACCGCCACCTCCGGAATCGCGACAAACTTGGTCACATAGTGCGTGAACACCGCAGGCGTCATCACGCCTGTCTTGTCAAAGAAGATGCCAAACCCACGAAGTGAACTGAGCGGGTCGCCGCCCCATACTGGCTGCAACCGTAGCCGACCACCCTCGTTTTTGTCCTTGACAATAAGATGCGACGGCTTGAACCGGTCTTCGGCCTCGGCGCGCCACTGATTCTCCTTGCCGAAGCGCCACAGCAGAAACAGCGAGGTCAGAATGCCGGAAAGCGTGAGCGTAAACCAGGCGCCCTCGGGGACCTTGATCAGTGCCGCCGAGAGGTACAATCCGTCGACGGAGGCAAAGACCAGCCAGGGAACGAACACCAGGAAGGGCGAGAGCTTCCACACAATGAGGGAAACAAGAGTGACCATGCAGGTATCGAAGAAGGTGACAAACATAACGCAGACGCCGTAAGCATTGCCGAGCTTGACGGTGTCGCCGTAGACGGCCGTGACAAGGATTGCGCCGAGCATAAGTAGCCAGTTCACAAAGGGCACGTAGATCTGCCCGTGGAAGGTCTGTGAGGTGTGCACCACTTTGACTTGCGGACAGTAGGAAAGCTTCATGATCTGACTGATGAGCTGGAAGGTTGCCGTAATCATGGCTTGGCTGGCTACTATGGCAGCAAGAATGGCGATGACCAGACTTGGGTACAGGGTTCCTGGAGGAGCCGCGTTAAAGAAGGGGTTCGTGTAGGCGTCCGGGTGGTGACTGATGTAGGCTGCTTGTCCGATATATGCCAACAGCAAGCAGGGGTAGGTGTAGCACATCCAGCTCAGTTGGATGGCATGAAGACTAAAGGCTCCTAGGTCGGCAAACAAAGCCTCGACGCCAGTGAAGGACAGAAGAACACCGCCAAGCATCCTCCAAGCGCGCTTTTTATGCTCGATAAAGAACTGAAAGGCAAAGTAGGGGCTGAAAGCTTTCAAAACCGTCCAGTCAAATGTGACCAGGTTGTAGATGCCAAAGGAGAAGTTTAACCCGAGCCAGACGATGACGATGGGCGCAAATGTGGTTGCAATTTTCGATGTACCGAGTGGCTGAATCAGAAACAGAAGCACCAAAATGCCGCACGTTGTGCCGGTGACGGTGGACTTTGAAATATCAGGCTTGACAACGGATAATCCCTGGACGGCTCCGAGGACCGACTGAGCCGGGGTCAAGACGCCGTCGGACATGACCATGGAGACGGCAAGGACGCCAATGATTTTGAGCAAAACGTGGGTGAACCTGCTCCCCTCGAGTTTGGCGCGCAAACTGCGGGTAGGGGGTTTGAGGTCGTTGGTTAGATGTCTTTCCATCCGCACAGTCACTTGTTCTCGCGGGTCGCGCTCGGTGATGTTGGCCTGCATTTATTAGCAACCCCCCCGGGAAATGAAGGGCTTGCTTGTACTTACAAATCTGGTAAGCAACGAATAGCAGCTAAAGGTACCACCTTCGCCCTCATTATCCGCATGGAGAATGACAAAGATGTACTTGAACGTGACGAGGATGGTGATGGACCAGATGACGACCGAGAGGACTTGGAGTAAATCCCTGTGGGTGGGCGGAGCAGTAAACGTTGACGAGAACACGTAGAGCGGACTGTACCAGAGACATAGGGGTGGTTAGATCGTCTTCAACAGGGTAAACAAGAAAAGAAAAAAAAAAGGTATCTGGGTACATCACTCACCTTGTTCCGATATCTCCATAAATCACACCAACAGACTGGTATGCCAACCAAAGCAAAGTTCGTCCCTTAAACACCTGCTTCTTCTTCTCATATCCGCCCCGCCAATCATCTCCCTCTTCGATATCAAGATGCGATTGTGATGTGGTGTCATTGTCGTGCGAAGAGCGACTATCAGCCGGTCTTTTTCCGCGAGAGATGATGCTGCGAGGGTTGAAAACGCCTCCGACTAGCTCGGGGCGGTGGCAACTGGACATGGAGCTACCTCGCGAACGAAAGTTCACGCCGGTTGAGACACCGGTTGCATGTTCTCGGCTGGCTCGGTCGGGATCATTGGTGTCTTTAGGGGGGAAGGATGGTTCTTCGATTCTGATGGTGGTCGTGTTGTTGGTGGGACCCGAACTTGGTTTGGGGGCTGCTGTAGTGTCGTTGTCCATCTTTTCAGGACTGAAGAAATGGAAGTGTGAGGTCAATTGAGATGGAAAGAGACGTGCCGTAAGGGACGTAAGTAAGGGGGGACCCTGCAAAGGATCTGGATACACCTAGATAGATCGATGAGTGTAGGTAGGTAGGTAGGTATGGAGAAAAAGAACCAAGCGCAGGCGTTGGAAAGCACGACCACCACCCACACACAAAGACTTCGAAAAGCAAAAGAGGCGGGGGTTCTACTCTTCGCTTAAAGGGCCCTCACAAGTTGAAGCAGCTCGATACAGCTCCCTCGGCCAGTTATATAGTCGGGGATCACTCGTATCTGGTGGAAGGATGGCAAAGACGAAGAATAAGAGGCCAACCAGTCCCGCTAACAGGGAGAGGCTCCCGTCAAACCCTGTCATCCTCTGTGAACGTGAGCCGACGTCCAGTCTTGGAGGAGCGATAAGCGTTGTGCTCGAAAAAGCTACCTAGCCTGCCCGGCTGGTTTGGAGGTAAGGTAGGTAGGTAGTAGGCAGGTAGCTAAGGCAGGGATGATAAGAGGAGGTCCGGCCGTCGTCGTGAGGGGGGCGCACAAGGCAGGGTATCGATCGGACAGGGATATCAGCGCCGGATATTCGTGGTATTGTGAAACGCCTCTTTTTTTCTTTTTTTTCTTTTTTTTTGTTGCATGGGGTGGTGAGAAGGGTAACTTGCCCGCATTTGGGAGATTCCAGTTCGCGGTCCCGACCTATCAGAGCATTGGACAGCTGACATGACAGAGAGCTGACTGACTGACTGACGCAAAGCAGCTGTGAAAGCCCCGGAACCGCATACCTACTGAGTGAGCATGCATGAAGCAATAACACTTCTTGAGAAATGAGGCTGGGCCTAAGCTTGTGCTTGGGCCATGGGTTCACTGCAGAGGGCTGCGCTGGACTGCACCCCACTGGGTGGTGCACGGTCTGGTGATGACGGTGGAAGAAACAATGCTTGCTGGGTGTGCGATGGGGTTTGCAAGGAACCTTGTCGATTTAACAGCGAGTTGTAAGTCAAGAACATACATGTAGTGTGTTCTAAAGAAACAGTTGAACATGGGATGAATGATGATCCATTTACAGCAAAGCCGCCTGGCATGATGCCAGATGCCACAAGATACAAGCAGACCGGTAAAAGTCAAGCCGATATCAGCATTCCAAACACCACCTACACTTCCAGATCAGGCATACCGAAACTTCAACCACTCGGGGGCAAGGAAAAGAGGTGTTGAGCCCCCCCACTCAACTTCCATCTTGTCGCGCTGGACTCGAGACCCGAGGAAGGAGACTCGGAGCACAGAAGCTGGCTACCTCTATGCTCACAGTTCAAGGAAGCTGGGAACAAAACTGTATTGAACCTCCCACCAAGATGATAGGTGAGTCCCTGTTTGTCGGCGTTCATCTCGTTTACTTCATCCGGCTTCTGGTCCACTGTATCACCAACCCTCGGTGCCAACCACTCCATACCCATCATGCTGGGTGAGGTCCTCGAGCTCGAGCTCTCAGCTCGGACTGCAACATTCCTTTGCGACGGTCCTGCTTCAACACGGCATTGGACATGTGCGTGGAGCTTAGGTACCTAGGTATCTGATCTTTTGATTTGCAACTGTGGTATTTTGCATCAGTTGCATCAGCAGCACTGCCACTCACTCTATCGAATTCTTCGAGTTTCCTAACAAGGAGTAGCACGTGGGCTGGCTGGATGGATGGTCTTGTTGGAAGGGTTGGGGACTGGATGGGAAGAAGAGGGACTGGAACTTTCCGGTCCGGGAGGCCTCCTCACTCTCTCTCTTGTCAGGACCGGCCGGGATTGAGCGTGGGTGATGGCAGTGACCCGCGGTGGAAACAAGGAACAGAAAACAGAGAAAAATCGCGCGTATACACTACACGCTGCAGGCGGCTCAACTTCCCAGTGTCGGATTCATGAAGCGGTGGAACGTGATTGGTTGGGGATAACCGACATCTCGCTTCGTTTGGACGTGCGTGCGACTTTGCGACTGTGCAAAAGCAGAGGGCCAGATCCCGGAACTCTTACATGCAATGGAACGAAGCGACGGTGAGGAGACCGATAGGATCCAAGAGGGCCGACTGGGTGGCAGGATCGCGGACATGGAGGTGTCTGGCCTGGTGGGGGTTGACCTCCAGTCATCAAAAGGGAAAAAAATCATCGCTGGAAGGCCTTTGAGCGCTGACAGAACTGTAGGTACCTACGAAAGGGAATCCATGGTTGGAAAGAAAGACCACAAAGGAATTACATATCGTCAAGTATCGTTTGGTGTTGTTCGCTCCAAGGAGTGACATTGAAATAAGGTTGTTTCGCCAAGATTTGGTCAAGACGTACGGAATGGTGGTCTCCACCCACCCATCCACCCGCCTACCCCCCCTAGATCGACCCCGACCATCGTTCCCTGCCTGGGCGCTTTAGGCGCTTCCCCTCGCATGTCATCCTTTGTGTGCGGGGAAGCTTCTGACATTTTTGCTTTTTTTACGTTAGTATTCATTTGAAAACGATTCGCGACATCAATTTTGAACGCTTTGCACAGCCTCAAGCCATAAGTACCTTAGCTTGTTCTCTCTATCTCCATCTCCTTATGCCTTTGTGATACATCTCTAGTGGTCTGACGTTGTCCAGGTAAGACGGAGGCACATCATGTCACACGCGACCAGACAACCTCCATTGAAGCTAAGATCCGAAAAAAGGGCAGTCGTAAATATTTGCAAAGACTACCATGCCTCAAAGATGGAAGCACAACTTTTATCTTCCCACGTGCACCGCGATTACTCTAACATGTTTCGAATAGTCCCCTTTAGAGCAACCAGACATGTGATATCCTTTCTCGCAAGCTCATCCCCCTGGGACCAACCTGTATGTTACCAGGTGCATCACGCAAACCCCCTTAAGGCAATGTTCACTGTGCCTCGAACGCCTAGATCGCAATATCGATTAAATGTACGACGACCTTTGCAAGAACGGGTCCAAGGTTTTGTCCCCTGTCGGATGTGTCGCATTATGTCCAAGTAGGCGTTGCGCTGTATCGTCTTACCATCCTAGAAGCCTCTAGGCCATGCCCCACGAAAACCCCTCCCAGCTAGTCTTCTAATCCATCTGGTCAACGGTCTGCGCCTCCTTACCCTGACCCTCATTAGAACGAGCCTTCTCCGCACCCTCTGCCTTCTTTCCATCCTCCTCGGTAACCGCAAAGCGCCAGCCGAGCTTATCCTCGATCTTTCCGAGCTGAATTCCCTTGAGCTGGGAGAGAAGCTTGAGGCAAAGGTCCCCGGCGTCCTCCTGGTTATCGGGGAGGTAGGTGACAGTTTCCTCTTCGGCCTCTCTGTTGAAGGAGACACGAGCGTGCTCTTGGGTAGCAGTGCTGGAAGCGAGTGACTGGGGAGATGACGTCTTGACGCGTCTGGTGATTGAGCGAATGGGGACCAGAGCGGCGGCGGTACCAGCGGCCATAACCTCGGAGAAGGAGGGGAGTTCAGAGTACTTGATCTGTGTGGGTGGTAGAACAGGGTGTTAGCGATTGATCCGATCCAGATATCCGGTTGAGATCCATGGGAAAGAATATCTCCGACTGTTGTGGAACACCCCTTCCGTTCGGCAGTCATTCTCCTGTAAAAAGGAAGGTATAGGCAATGTAGAGGTAGTATTCCACCCAAGGCCTGGACCCAAGAGACACACCAAGAATGCCCTCCGTTGCACTTTGCTTTCCGCTTGCATCTGAAATCGAAGCTTCCACCACTCCCGGGTCCCTGATCCGATCTTGGCACCATGCCGTGATCACAGAACACCGACATCAAAACCGGCCGAAGGTCGGCATAGACATAAGATTGTGGAGGTAAGGAGGGGAATAGAAAGCAGCAGACAGAAATCACTTACCGGTCTCTTCTCGACCTTCCAGCCAAAGCTCCTACCAATCTCCTGGATACTGTCACTCGTGACACTATCAATCACGGCCTTGGAGCTGGGCACAACAACAGTAACGTCATCCTCTCCCCCATCGCCACGAAGAACACCAATAAACCCACTGGTGCTAAACTCGTCGACCTCCTCGTGCCTAGCACTATCCAGATGGAGGGTGATATCATAGCCCTCCTTGCGGGCCTTGTCACTCCAGCGGAGCACAGGCGCATAGTTGCCACCAACCTTGGCGCTACCGGTACCGTTGGGCGCGGCACGGTCAAACTCCTCCAGGATGAGCGCCTTGACGGGGTGAGTACCGTGGTACACGCCCGTAGGGATGACAAAGACGGAGAAGAGATACTCCTCGGGCGGGCTGAGACCGAGCTGCGCGGAGCTTCCAAAGATCTGAGGGCGAATGTAAAGGGCCGCGCCCGTCTCGTGGGGTGGGACGAACTCGGCGTTGAGAGCCACGGCCGCTTTCACGGCGTCAATGAACAGGTCGACCGGCACGGGCGGAATGCTGATGTACTCGGCCGAATGCTGCATGCGGCTCGCGTTCTTGTCGGCGCGGAAAATGGCAATCGAGTCGTTGCCGGGGAGACGGAAGGCCTTGAGCCCTTCGTACGCTTGCTGGCCGTAGTTGAGGGCGGGCGCCATACCGTGCATGCGCAGGTAGGGGTCGCTGACGAACTTGAGCGGGGACCATTTTCCCGTCTTGACGGAGTAGGAAGACTCGATATGACCGTTGACTGCGAAGTGAAAATGGTTAGACATTAGCGGACTGTTGCTTTTTTCGTGTTACCCGTAGTCGCGGAGATTGGCCCATTGTATTCTCTCGTCCAACCCATGGATACATTGGAACATGGATGGTCGCAGAAGACTAGATGTGTAGAGGTAGAAGGGACCTAACAGAGGAGATGCAGGGACTCGGGTGTATTCCACTACCCACCTTCGCGGACCTTGAATCCGACGTTGGACCAGTCGATGGTGCTGACCGGAGGAGGAGGGAAGTTCGCCATGGCGCGGATCTTTTTTTCGGGACTAGAACTGGTCTACTGCGAATATTGTTGAAGAGGTTGTATTCTGGTCAACAGTTTCTGGTGATGATTCTTTGTCAGCTTCGGGAATGTTAGAAGTACCCAAAAGTAGGAGACAGGTAGAGTGGCGCAAGATTGTCAGATGAATCTCAGAAACGTTCAGGCGATGTATGTCCTTGTGCAACATCGATAAATAATACCAAATTTCCCTCAGACGAACCGCAACAATTCGCAGGCCTAACTCGAAGAAGCACGTAACTAACCTGTACCGCTAACACTTTGGAATTATCAAGTCTATCTGCTTAGAACTTGTTCAGAGTACGAAAAGAAGCCCCCCCAAAAAAGAGACAAACAGTCATCCAGTTATCGAGGTTCCCAGGAAGGATCCTGCGGCTCTCCGATATACGGCCGAGACGCATGCATCAATGCCGGACGCCCGATGTCGTTGCCGTAGGTACGTGTAAGTTGACAGGGGTTGATTGATGACACAGCACTTTACTGCCCCGCCATTTCTTCACCTGCCCTGCCCCGCACTACATAAGCATCATAGCCCAGGGGCATTCCGCAGTGGGAGGCCAGGGATGCTGTCCTTTATGAACAATACAGCTAGAGGTAGTAACGAAGATGTGGACAGTTCTGGGGAAGTGATGTCATCGTCACCATCGCGACATTCCCCTCAATGACCGTCTATACTCTCTCCTCGTTATATGATCGAGACGGGAGCTTTGAGATTGGAAGTGATATCAATGCACATGAGCATTGCATCGTACGACGGGGCAGGTATGCGAGCGAGTGCCTGGTCTTCGAGATACATCGAATGCAACGCCCAGTGTGCAGTATGATACTGACACCTCTCTTGCTCTCTGGGGTAACGTCCACGCACCACATCATGTCAAATTGCTGTCTCGATGCATATCACAAATATCTTCAAGTTATCTCGACAAGAAAACACGAACAGACGAAAAAAAGCCTTATAAGAAACCGATAAACCATGCCAGCGCCTGGCTACCTTATTCTATATATATATACTACCTTGTGGTGCAGTGTAAGAATGATCATGATGCGCTCCATTTTCCGTTTCCCATAATCCCATGCTTTCCATACCACGTGTCATTGTTGCCGTAAAAGAAGAAAGAGAATCACCACCATACATGTACACACCGCCGCCCAATGTAGTGTTCGTCAAGACCGTGTCCTTTCTGTCGCTAAACGAGTTCCCTTAGCTTTCAGATTTTGCCATGCAGTGCTTGATGATCGCAGATCGCTGGGCATATCGATGAACATGTGTGTGGTGCTGCAAGAAAATATTGACGAAAATGAAGTGAAAAGAAAAACAAATCATAAAAGGAGAGGAGGCATTGAAAGCAGGCACCCTCCAATACTGGAGAGGGCTTGCGATACAAAATGCCAAAAATTCCACCAACGCAAAACGCCACGCAAAAGGGGGGATGCTGCAGCAAAGCAAACAAGCAACGCCCGGATTGCTCACATATTGACGAGAGACGGAATAGTTATAGAACTTCGACGACGCTGATGCTCAGCAGGAACCCTATATGTCATGAGTCGGTAAATGTGGCCTCAAAGAGAAGGCTACTGCTTACACGACTTGGGATAGCTTCTGGAGAGCTGCGAGAACGCCTACAAAATCACATAAACCACATTAGCAGCTGCTTCAAAAACAAAAGAAATAAAGAGAGATCTGCTTACCACTAACGCCCTGGGTCACCGTCGCCTTAGCCTCAGTGTTTCTATTGCCAAGGCTAACAGTCACCACCTCCTGTACTGTTCCATCAGTGCCCAACTGGTTGGCCCACTTGAAGACCTTCTCGTCGTCACGACCGTCGCCAACAACCATAAGGAAGTCAACCGGGGATTTGTGCTTCTCATCCGGCCCCATCCGTTGCTGCAAATCATCAAAGATCTTCTGGGCCGCGGTGCTCTTGGTCCAATCTATGGGCTCAACAAGCACGCAACCGTCCATTGGAATAGCGTGAACGCGTTGGTCCTCGCAGGCGTCATTGATGTGGCTGGCCAAGTCGGAAGCTTGTGTAGCGGCCGTCTCGTAATCATCCGCAGACTTGTAGTGGAACACCAAGGAGCAGCGACGTTCCTCAATCGCCGCTCCCGGCGTACGCTCCAAGTAGTAGGTCATGATGTCCCGGAGTGAACTCTTCCAAGAGCGGATCTTGTTGGAATCGGCCATTTCGGTCCAAGTGTTGCTTCCGCAGTCCTTGAGATAGCATCCGCTTTCGGCGATCAAGCCGAGGTTAGTAACGCGGCGGAAGATACGGTCCAGCTCCTCTGGACGTCTACCAGACATAACATAAATGGTGTTGCGCTCATCGAGCAGAAGATCGTTGAGAACATCCAGGGTGCGTTGAGGGCTGACCGGAATGATTTGATTAACGGGGCCCCAGCTGACAAGGGTTCCCTCAAAGTCAATGATGAAAAGGCGGCGTTTAGTGCGCTCGTATTGCTGCAACAACGTGGTCATCGAGAGGCGAGGTACTGCGGTCTGATCGCGACTATGTTGCTCCTCGTAGACCTTATCTAGGCGGAGCATGAACTCTGAGAACCAATGCGAGCCTGTGTGAACGTTGACGGCCTCGTATAGGTTCTTCCAGCGGCGCTCCTTCTCCTCGCCTTCCATCTCGAGAGCCTTCTTGATGGCATCTGCACAAGCCCTGTAGTCCCAAGGGTTCACCGACAACTCATTTCCGTTGAACAACGAGGAAGTACCCGTGAACTCAGAAAGGATCAATGAGCCGTGCTTCTTCTCGCTGAACTTGCCATCCTGGCAGAAAAGGTATTCGTGGGATGTGAGGTTCATGCCTTCACGTTGACTGGTGATCATGAGAGCATCAGCAATGCTCAATAACGCAAGGTACTGGGCGTAGTCGATGTCCTGCTTGAGGTAGACCACAGGTTGATATGCCAAATTGGCCCACGAAGAGTTGACGCGGGTCACAATGTCAGAAACGGTAGCGTCCAACTCGCTCTTTTCGCTTGTTGAAAGGGCAACCTGAATCAGAACGACTTTGTCCCTCCACTCAGGGTTCATGTTCAAGAACATCTCGTAAGAGAGGAGCTTCTGGCGCACGCCGCGGACGTGGTCAAGCTTGTCGCGGGCTACGATGAGCTTCTTGCCTGCATAGCGCTCACGCATGATGTCCAGCCAGCGCTTAACTTCACTCTCACCACGGTGACGGCTGAGGCTAACAGGGTCAATACCGATCGGGAGGTTGATGACGTCGACAAAACGGTCCTCGAGCTGAAGACCATCCGGGGTGGCCTCCACGCTCAGAATGCGGCTGCAAGTCTGGAGGAAATGTCTGGCATACTCACGGATCTGGAATCCAATGAGGTTGGCGCCGAGCATGCCTTCAAGTAACTCCTTGCGAACAGCTAGACATCTAAAGACCTCCGAAGAAGGGAAGGCAACGTGCAGGAAGAACCCAATCTTGGCTTCGGGAATCTTCTTCCTAATCATTCCAGGGACCAAGAGGAGGTGGTAATCGTGGATCCAGACCGTGTCTCCTTTTTTCCAGTTCTTAACAATCTTGTCGGCAAACGCCTGGTTGACGTTTACGTAGTACTTCCATGAGTGATCCTCGTACGCCTTGCTCTTTGGGTTGTCCGGAATCTGGTAGTGGAAAACGGGCCACAAGATCTGCTTGCAAAAGTGGGAATAATGACCGTCGAAGTCTTTGTCCGAACAGAAAACAGCCAGCATGTCGTGCTCAGTGGCAAGTCTGTCATCGATGTCCTGAAGTTGCTGAGTACCCTGGAGAGCGTCCGTGGGCATGCCCAACGTGCCAATCCATGTGTACTCTCCAAGCTTGCCATCCCTGGCAGCTGCCTCGGCGGCGTTGCGCAAGCCACCGTTACCCTGATCGGCGCTAACGATCTTCCAGTCGGCGTGTGCAAACACTCGATCATGGCTTTCACTTCTCACGAGGCTCCGTGGCTGTGTGATGCCTTGGCGACCCATTTCTCTGGCCTTTTGGTTCAGAGCACGGCTGCTGTTGATCAGGGAAGGAGGCGGGGGAGAGTTCGCACGGGACATCGGCTGGTCCGGCCGGCCGCCCCATGTCGGAGAGCTTCGATCGATTGGAGCACGGTAGCTACCATCGGGAGAGAAGGGCATTTGGGGAATTTGCACCTTTAACCCATCCTCGTTTGCCCAAGGGTCATGATGCTTGCGGTCTTCCGTCGGTGTGTGCGGAGGAGTGATGTGACTAGGTGCAGGCTGGAAGAGGCTGGGAGGAGTGTTGGGGGCGAGCTTTTTGGCCTTGCTGGCCGGCTTCTGGGAGGCTGAAGCCCCTCTTGGCCGGGCACCAGGCAGGTTGAAATGAACGGTCTTGGGAAGAAAGCTGTAAAGGTTTCCGGCAAGTCAGTAAATATATCCATGCCCTCGTTCCCATCTTTTCATTGTCCGGACCCACCCATCCGAGGGGGTAGAAGGGTCGGACAAGGTAGCCTGGTGCAGAGATGCAATGCAAACGCATGGAAT